ATATCATCTTTTGTTGTTGTTTTGAGATAGGATTTCACTGTTTAGCTCTGGCTGTTCTGGAACTCGCTTTGTAGACCAGGCTAGTGTTGACTCACTGAGATCTGCCTGCCTCTGCTTCCCAAGTGCTGGGATTAAAGGCATGCGCCACCACTACTTGGTTCAGAGGTCATCTATGGCTACAGACAGAGTTTGAGGTGAGTCTGGAATACACAACACATGAGACCCTGACTCAAAACACACACACATATGCACGCGCGCGCGCACACACACACATACATGTGCACACAGCTATCTTCCTGGCTGGGGAATGTACTAAAGGGGCTGGGAGTCCCCTGAGTATGAGACCTTGGGCCTGGTCCCTAGCTGTGGAGAAATAAACAACCCCTCCCATCCTCATCTCACAATTCTCAGAGATTTTAAGAGCCCATGACCTGGAGCTGGAGAGATGGCTCAGCAGTTAAGAGCACTGTCGTCTAGCAGAGGACTCAGCTTCAGTTCTGACACCCATGATGTGGCTCACAGATCACTGTAGTTCCAGGGGATCCAACATCCTCTTCTGGACTCCTTGGGAACCAGGCACACTCATGATGCATCTGCATACATGTAAGCCACTCATAGACATATAAAATAAATAAAAACTTAAAAACAAAGGAATCTACTAACTAGATGATGTCTCCCCATGAACGTCCCGTGTGAATCTAGAGCTTAACATGCCAAAATGCTTTTTGGCTTTGGCACTGAGAGCCACCTTTCTAATCCTCCCTTTGCCACAAGCACCAGCGCACACAGATGGGCATGTCGATCATTACATCTTCCCTTCCCTCACCATCTCCCAAATGGAGTCCACTGTACACCCTGCTGACTCTAACACCACCTATGTCTTGAATCCTTTACTTCTCTCCACCGTAACCTTTAAACCACCACCTCTAACCTAGATAACTGCAAGAGGTTCCTAAAATGATTGAGGCATTTATTCCAGCCTGGGGCAATTGTTCTCCTCCCTGTTGCCAGACAAGATAGCCCGAAAGGCAAACTAACCTGGAATTCACTGTGTAAAGAGGATTACCTTGAACTTCCGATTCCCTTGCCTCCACCTCTTGAGTTCTGGGATTCCAGGGGTGCACCACTATACCCAGTTTGTTCAGGGTATAAATTGAAACCCAGGGCATCAAGGATGCTGTACAAACACTTTACCAACATAGCTACGCCTATTTTCTGTTGTGGTTTTGTTTGTTAGCTCCTACTGGCCTGGAATTAGCTATGTAGACCAGAGCAGCCTTAAACCTGTATCGATCCTGCCTCTGTCTCAGATAAATCATTTAAAAAATTTCAGGCTTACTTTGTACATATGAATGCTTTGCCTGTTGTATACCTGTTGACTCCCCTGGATCTGGGCTTTCTGGATGGTTCCAACATCCCGAATGTGCTCTGTGAGAGTCACAAGTGCTCCTCACTGACTGAGACATCTCTGCAGTCCCTCACATAAAGCTTTCAAGAGGATAAACTCAATCGCGTTGGTTACTTGCTTAAAACCTGCCAATAACTTCTTTCCCATTGTCTTTTGCATGTTCCACTATGATCAAAATCTATACTGTAATCTGTCCCCTAACAGTTCTTCAGGCATCTTTTCTCTCCCTCTTCTTCATTAAGGCACAGATGGATATGTCTTTTTTCTTTCTTCTTTGCACTCACTTTGTAGACCAGGCTGGTCTCGAACTCAGAGATCCACCTGTCTCTGCCTCCCAAGTGCCTCTCAAGTGCTGGGATTAATGGTGTGTGACACCACCACCTGGCAGGTTAGTTTTTTTTTTTTTTTTGAGACAGGGTTTGTAAAGGCACATACCACCACTGCACGACAATCATGTCTGTTTCATTGACTGGGTGCCTAAACCAGAACCGTCATAGTAAATACTCAATAAAGACTTATTCAGTGAGGTACCAGAGTGATGGCTCAGTGGTTAAGAGTGCATACTGTTCTTGCAGTGACCCTAGTTTAGGTACCCAGCACCCATGTCAGGCAGCTTACAACTGCCTGTAACTCCAGCTCCAGGGGAATCCACCGGGCCTCGACAGGCACTGCACTCATGTGCACATACTAACACATATAATTCAAAATAAAAGTAACTGTCTGGGCAGTGATGACACACATGCCTTTAATCTCAGTATTCAGGAGGTAGAGGCAGGTAGAACTGAGCTGGAGTCCAGCCTTGTCTAGAGAGTGATTTCCAGGACAGCCAAGGCTACACAGTGAAACCCGTCTTGAAAAACCAAATACATACATACATACATCTTTAGAAAGGTTTATTGTATGACTATCAATATTTTCTTTTTCTTTCCTTCCTCTCTCTTTCAATTCCCTACCCCCCCCTTTTTTTTCTATCAAACCAAACCCAAAGTCTCACACATGCTAGGCTGTAGTGTGTGGATAGACCAGTTAACTCTGCAGTAAGTGTGGGAGAGACAGAGACGACCCAAACGGACATTGCCAGGAATACCATGAAAGGCACAGTCTGATGAGAAAGGTGGGCAATTGTAAAATGGTCCGACAGTTGGAGATCTGGAGTTAGAATTCAAGGAAGGCAACAGGAACACAGACTGGCAAAATGGACAAGCATACGCCGTGTAAGAATGGAGGCCATGTTTACATGACTCAAAGCCTTCTTTCTGTAACATTTTATTTAGTGTGTAACGACCTATAAATGCACGTGAGTGTAGGCGACTGTAGAGTTCAGAGGCATCGGGAACCCCCGCTGCAGGAGTTACAGGCGGTTTGAGCCACCAGATGTGGGTGCTGGGAACCAAACTCTTCTCTAAGAGTAACAGTCACTTGGCGCCATCTCTCCAGCCCATAGACGACGGTCATTTTAATTATCCTGTTTTCCCTCTTAGAGGGCTGAGCAAACCCGCCTGCTCCGAGGATAGAGTTTCTTTCTTGGCTGCTCTTATGGTTCAAACTCAGTGTAGCCTCGGAGTTCGAATCCGACCTCACAGCACTATCGCCCCCATCCTGCCCTCTTTCGCCTAGCAGGAAGCTCCATGGCAACCCAAAACATCACAGCTCCGCGAAGTATCGCGAGAAGCCCGGATGCGCCCGCGGCCAAGGAGAGGCGGGGCGAAGGCGGGGCTACAGCGGCAAAGTGGGCGGAGCCATAGGGCTTCCGCGATTTCCCCGGTCGGAAGACGCTCTCTTCAGGCGGCGCCCCCGCGTGACTGTGCTTTACATAATCGCGGCCCCGCGCGTCATAGTGGCGTAGTCCAATCTAGACCGAATCAGAGCCGTCGGGAACGCCACGTTCCGCCCCCTCCCGTTTGATCGACGTCCAGGCGAACCAGCGAACGGCCACCCAACCCCGGAGAGCCCGCCCCCGCGCCGGCGGCCCGCCCTCGCCCGCC